ATAGAATAACAGGCACTTAAATACTTGGTCAGCTCTGAAGTACATTTGGTAACACACACTTTTGTACAGTTCTTTGGGGGATTTTGTACAGCTATTGTTGGTCACTTTGATTTAGAGGCTCCCGCTCAAACAACTTGGGACAAAGGGAAGTAAAAGTCATATTGCCACTCTATTCTGCTTTGGTCAGGCCTCACCTGGGCACCACAATTCAAAAAGGATGGGGACAAGGTGGAAGGGTGACCAAAATGGGGAAAGGTCTGGAAACCACCAAGCAACTATGAGGAATGATTTAGGGAGCTGGGTCTGTTTAGCCTGGAGAAGAGGCGGTTAAGGGATGACATGATAGCCCTCTTTAAATATTGGAAGGGACGTCATATTGAGGAGGGAGCAAGCTTGTTTTCTGCTACTCCAGACACTAGAACAGGGGTAGGCAACCTAAGGCCCGGATGCGGCCCCCCGAGGCCTTTGGACCGGCCCCAGGCCAGTCCTGCCGCCACCGCCGCCCCTCGCCGCCCGCCATGATGATATTGATTATTATTGTTATTACTTGTTCTTGGGGTTTTTCTTGGCAAAATCTCCACAGGGGTTTTGCCATGGCTTTTCTGGGGCTGAGAGAGTGTGCATGCATATATATATATATTTTATTTTTAATTTATTTGTTTATTTGTTTTTGGTGCTTCGGCCCCCCAATTGTCTGAGGGACAGCAACCCAGCCCCCGGCTCAAAAAGGTTGCCTACCCCTGCTCTAGATTTTCCTGGCTGCCGTGTTTTGAATCAATTGGAGTTTCCGAACTAGGTGCAAAGGTAGCCCCATAAAGAGCATGAACTTTTCAGAATTGCAGTTGTAGGGGTTTGTTGGTTTGTATTATTTTTATTGTTTAATTTGTTATTGTTTTAATTGTAAATTGGTTTTAATTGAGATGTGATTTAATAACTTTTTAAGGGGAGGGGCAGGGAATTATATTGTTTTAAGCTGTACGTATTTTAGGGTTGTACACCGCCCTGATTGGCTCGCCACAGGGCAGTATATAAATAAAAGATTATTATTATTATTATTATTATTATTATTATTATTATTATTATTATTATTATGAAGTCAACTTATAGTCGAGCATATATGGTACTCCAGAGCTTGGTTACTGGTGAAGGAAGAGCTTGCCTAGCAGAGCCGTGACACAAAGACATCTCGAGCCCAATTT